TGAGCAACTGGATGGTTACTGTGAAAACTGAGGAGTTATGTTGTCTTCGTCGCCTTCCTGTTACCCGTCGTCTCGATTTCACCGTTGGGTGTTCTCTTGACGAGGACATCAAGGAATGGCAGCTGCTGCTCTTTTCCTTCTTCCCTCGTAAATTGTATGTCAGGAAAGATTCCATTGAGCAAGTAATGAAAGTTTTTCAGCATGCTCTTTTTGATGATAACAAACGTGTCATCTACGTAACGACGCCAAAAGAAGGGGTTGTATTGGGTGAAGGCGGTGTTTTCTAGCTCTTGTAGGACAAGTTTTGCCACTAACCCAGAGATCGGGGACCCCATCGGAGTACCTTTGATCTGTTTGTTTCTCCGGCAAAAGTAAAGTATGTTTTTTGGCAGAATTCCAATAACCTAATGATAGGTTCAATTTTGAGTGGGCTTTGAGCCTCATCATATGCCTGCTCAAGTCTCTTGTGCAAGATATCGTGCGCCAGGTGTGGTGGTATGGATGTGAACAATGAAGTCACATTGAAAGAGGCCATGATTTCGTCCGATTGAATCGTCCGACCTTGGAGGTCCTCGAAGAATCGAGAGGCTGATTGAACTGAGGTAACCGAGTTGCCTTGAAGGAATTTCAGTTTTCTATACATCCACTTTGCCAAGTTATAGGTAGGGCTGCCTTTAAGGGCAACGATTGGTCGAAGTGGGACATTCGGTTTGTGGATTTTTGGCAGTCCATAAAATCGAGCCAGAGCGGTATCCGTTACTTTCATTTGGCGTCAGTCATTCACCGTGATCATATTCTTGCGCCGGTATTCTCTGAGTAGTTTAGTCAGTCGGTTGGATACTGCTTTGCTTGCGAGTTCAGTGTTGGTCGGTAAAATTATCTGTCGTCAAGAAGAGTCTTAGCTTTGTCATTGTAGTGTTGCCAATTCATCCCGACAGTCGACCGTCCCTTATCAGCAGGTAAGATGATAATACTGTCATCTTTCTTCAGTCCTTTCATGGCTTTTGACTCACTTTGCGAAATGTATCTGGTTGGTTTACGAGCCATAAGCAAGGAGGTCACATGTTGTCGTACTGAATGTTCGTGTCATCAGTTGCCACCGTTCTCACCAACATCGCTTCTACTGCAACAATGAAGTCGAGTGTGTCGGCATCTGCGGTGTTAAAACAGGCTTCGTGCTGTAGCACGTGTAACTGCTGCTCTGTTAGTTGTTTTGACGAGAGGTTGTGGACTACGTCAGAGTTCGCAGTGCCTGCGGGTTTCAATTTATTCAGTTTTCTCTCAAAAATCTCCCTTTTCTTGGCCTGCCGGTGTCGTGTTAAAGCTGAGATCGTTTTTCCAAGATTCTCGGCAATAAAATATCCGAAGATTTGGAAACACTCTCTTCTATCCTCCTCAATCTTACCCTTGCATTTTCGTAGGCGTCGGTGGCAGTCATCAATCAGAACCCTCACTATCTGCTTGATGAATCTTTTGGATACTTCTCTGCCCATAGCCGTGTTCACGGGTGCCTTATATCTGAGGCATCGTGACGTCAGTTCTGTTTCACCATCTCTGACGATGGATTCCTGCAAGAGCCCGAAAGCTCAGAATAAAATACAATTCGTTCTGGTGCTCGATCATATGTCTTCTTTACCGATAGATGTCCTATGTTCCTGAGAAACTGTTCAGCCGACTTAACTGTAGATTCGGAATCCTCGGTAAGGAAGCGGAACCGCTGGTAGAGCATCTTCGACAGTCCAAGCGTCGGAGTACCACACAAAGAAACGATGGGGCGAAGGGGCACTCCTGGTTTATGCACTTTTAGCAGACCGTAGAAACGGACCATTGTGGCGTCTGTGGCTTTTGCGGTCAGTGCCTCCCCTCCTTTGATGGCCCCGGACTTCTTCAAATTGTTAATCGACTTGTTCACGCTGTTCATGTGTTTCTTGAACTCTCCAGCTCCCGAAAGCTGGTAGGCGTTTTCGTCCCTCAACAGACCTTGTAGCTTCGCCGTGTACTCAGTCTGATCCATTAATACTGTTGAGCGTCCCTTGTCGGTTGGCAGGGTGACGATATTCTTCATCTTTCGGATTCGCATAAGTTCTGGGTCTTTGGCCTTGGAGATCGTCGTCAAAGGTTTGTGCTGAAGGAAAAGTGTTGACACTTGCTATCGCATGGCGTTCTTACACTCTTCGTCTGCTTCACACTTCTGGAGCGCTGACTCGAAAGATGCGACAAAGTCTACTGGGCGAGCATCTCTCGTATTGAACTTATTGTCTTAGGACAAGACTGCCAACAGTTGTTGAGTGAGAGGACGGGATGAAAGGTTATGGACAGGGCACCATAGTAGGGCGGTTGCAGGGGCATCCGTCTTG